AACCTCTGGTCAAAATACTTCAAAACCAGCAGTATCGGCATTGGAGCTGCTTTGGTGTGAGCGGCAGCGCTGGGCCCGCGGCCACGTGGGTTCCAGAGTGGTCCGGGCAGATGGAGATGTCGTTCGACGCCTTCATGCCCACCTGGGCTGCACGGGGAATGTTCTCCAGTTTCTCGACCCAGCTTGGCCTCCCCCCAACCCCCGAAATTCCAAGGGGTTGACTTTGCATCTCTAGGCCACCAGGTCCCGCTGGGCCAGGCTGACTCATCCATCCAGCACCTGGTGCTGCTTCCACGCCGGTGTCGCTGGGCTGAGGGGCAAGGATGACGCTAATGCCAGGGAGCCCCACCACCTCGAATCCATTCCTGGCATCCAGAGGCGTGGCCGGTTCCCCGCTCCCATTGAACAGGGATTGATCATTGCGACAACTTAGCAAACGCTTGGTCTGTGCCAGACCCGGCCAGGCACCCTGTGCGGATCATACGGTTTCATCCTCTTAACACCCCCACTTTGCCAGTGGGGACACACTGCAACTCGGGAGGGCCAAGGGCTTGTCCAAGGTCACAGCCTGATTGAGCTCTGGCTTCTCTTGCCACTGCAAAGCCTTTCTTGGGGCCCCTGGGTGGCTCAGTGGTTGAGCGTCTGCTTTTGGGGGTAATCCCAGGGTCCTGGGATCCAGGCCCGCATGGGGATCCCCGCAGGGAGCCTGCTTCTCCCTCTGCCTATATCTCTGCCTCTCTCTCTGTCTTTCATGAATAAAAAAGTAAAATCTTAAAAAAAAAAAAAAAAAACAAACACAACACCTTTCTTAACCAACTTCCGTCACATGCCTGTGTCATGATGCTCCTGGCGGGCGAAGGTCTGGTCCCCACTAGATCAGAAAGCACAGACCCCTTGGTCTCACCCAATAGCAGCTGATCTTTCTGTCCACCTGGAGTTTGGGCCTGTGGTTCTCCGCCTCTTGGGAGTCTCGAGGTCTTCACACATGGGACATCATCGCTATAGTCCCAGTCACCACTCCCACCCTGGCTTCTCTTCCAGTACTTTCCTTTCTTTCTTGTATTTGTTTCCTAACAAAACTTGCTTTTGCCCTGCCGTGTGCCAGGCAGGGCGAGGTACCAGGAGTCCAGGCCTTTCCCGGAGGCTCCTTCTGCCGAGGGTGGCCATTCCACACCGTTGGCCTGGGCCTTGGCATCTTCTTCCGGCCAGAAGCCTGGGTGCGGGTGTGACCCCCCTTCCCGGGAGAAGGCCAGAGTGGACTCCTGGGACTTCTGGCCAAGGAGCCGGGTGTTTTCTGGAGTCTGGCAGCACTTCCATACCTCACTGGATTTCAGGCCGGCCACAAGCTTGAGTCATGGGAGGCTGGGCCAGAATGGGCAAGAGCAGGCCTCAAGGGGATCAGGGGACATCTTTTCGGGGGCTTTTAAGGCCCAAGGTAAAGTTAGGCAGGGCCCTGGGTGCCTTAGGGAGAAGTGGCTCTTGCTTACGGGCCCTGCTGGTCTCAGCAAAGCTTGCCTTTTCCTTCTGCACCCAACTGTGAGGGCCTGACCCGGGGAGGGGGGGGTGAGTCTTGTGGCTCTGTGCACAGATGTGGGTGGTGGTCAACTCTTCTGGGGCCCCTGAGGCCCTGCTGCTGTGGCACAAGAAGCTTCTTGAACTCCCCAGAGGGGACCGGCCTTTGCACGTGTCGCACCTGCTGCCTGGACTCCAGCCCTGCCACTGGCCCCAATTTTTTCCTCTTTCCCTCTGACATCCCCTCCTCCAGGTAATAATAGCAGGTCCAACCAACCATCTCGTGAACTCACGCAGAGGCCCCTCTTGGTCAAATGGTGTTGAAAGTCATGAAGTCCAATTCTCAATTTGGAGCTACCTACGAGTTTGGCAAACCAGGTCCCTACCCCCAGGGATGAGCACACACACACAAAAACAAAACAAAACAAAACAAAACAAAACAGAACAGAACAGAACAGAAGAAATCCAAAGCCTAATTCTGAAGCTGTGGGAAGATGAGAGCAAAGAGGTTAAGGAAGCACAGAGACACCTACTCAACAGAAACACCTTCAGGCAAAAGAACAGAATAGTGTGTCAACAGCATCCGGAGTTGACCATTTTCTGGTGCTTGCCAGCATGGCCTTCAGAAACTGAGTGACTCTCAACTTTGGGTGTAGAGGATAAGGCGCTCAAGTGCTCGCACCGTGATCTGGAAACGCCTGTACAAATGTCATATAATTCATTTTCAGCAGAGGCCATATTCAGTAAAATTCTGAAAATATGTCAATGAGCCTAATTTTGTGCAGCGTTTCTGAATTTTTTTTCACTTGTTAAGACGTTTTTGTTATGTATTTTCTGCTAACAGTACTTAAAACTGCAACTTTTCGACACAAAGCAAATAAAAAGGATATCTTTAGGGCAGCCCAGGTGGCTCAGCGGTTTAGCGCTGCCTTGAGCCCAGGGCTTGATCCTGGAGACCCAGGATCGAGTCCCATGTCAGGCTCCCTGCATGGAGCCTGCTTCTCCCTCTGCCTGCGTCTCTTGCCTCTCTCTCTCTGTGTGTGTGTGTGTCTCTCATGAATAAATAAATAAAATTTAAAAAAATAAAACAATACAAATTTATTTTTTTAAAAAAAAGCTTATCTTTATAGGAAGCAATGAGAAAAAAAAATGCCAAATACCCTTTCCTACCATATTTGTCTCTTTGAAGCCTCATGAAAGTCCTAGAAGGCAGGTATTATAAATCCCACTTTACAGATGAGGAAGCTGAGGCCCAGGCTGGCTAAGCAGTGACGGGGTCTCCCAGTTGGGGAGAAGCAGCAGGAGGAGCCCAGCAGCTCGCGCGCCCACAAGAGGGCCTGCAAGGATGACGCAGTCTTAATGGAGACCACACACCAGTGGGATCAGCAGGGAGGGCGCAGGTGGACACCACCACCCAGCTGGGGTGTCTCCTGGTGCCCTGACCCAGGCAGCTGGGCTCCACAGCTTGCGCCCTGGACCTGGAGACCAGCATGCTAACCTCCTGCTGACTTAGGTCTCTCCCTGACACAATGCATTCCTTGAGGTCAGGGACCTGTCCTGTTTGCCACCGTGGCCTCAGTGTCAGCTCTGGGCCTGGCACCTAGAGGGCAAGCAAGTGTCGGATCCATGAACAACTGACCTTGGAGCCTCAGTCTTTTCCTCTGGAAAATGGGCAGAGCTCAGTAAGCTCGTCTACTTCCTGCCCTGGGCACATAGTAGGTCCTCAGGAGCAAAGGGGAACTGATGATTATCAGCTATCAATCCTTTGCTTTAAGAGGCGTCTCCCCTGTCCCCCTTTTGCCACATTGCCCTCCAAGTTGCTATGGGGGAAACTATCCCCTAGGGGTCCCTCTGCCCTGGGGGTGAACCCAGAGAGCAACCCCCCCCCCACACACACACACCTTCCTTGAGCACTGCCCTCTGGCTTCTGGAACTGGAGCCCAGCCAGGGACAAGGGACAGGAGACACAAAGCAGTTGGTCCAAGACCAGTGCAATGACTGCAAACCAGGGCCCCCCATCTTTGGGGGGTGAGGAACTAGGGGTGCATGTGGGGCAGAAGGAGAAGAGGGGCCTGCCTGGCTCATTCCCTCTGGCTGGGGTCCCTGGGACCCCTGTTGATGGCAGCAGGAAGGCCAAACGGGTTGGGCGATGTGTTTTCTGAGTGTGACACACGTCGGCCAACAGAGGACAGCAAATACATTTTTTATGATCCTGGGAGGCTCAGTCCTGTCACATTTACTTGAAAAGAGGCTGGGCAATGGAGGGGGACAAATCAGGTCTCAGTTGTTTGGATCTTCTTTGGGCAAGAGGGGATACTTGTACGATGATCTGGGGGTCCCCAGGGAAGGGGTGCAGGCGGGGCAGATTTCACCAGGGGCTGAGGTGTAGGGCTGCAGGGCCCCCTCACTGCTGGAGCCTCGTGTAGCTTATGGAAGGAGGGGTGTCACCTGAGGGGCCAGATCTTTGCCAGGTGGAGGTGGCACCCTCAATGCCCAACCCCCAATTTCCAGCATATCTCGTCCCCCGCTGCTGTGAAAGCGGCGTCAAAGTGACATTGGAACAGGTGGGGGTGGGGGGAGCACAACTTGATGTTTTGGCCTGAAAGTGGTTTGGTATCTGGGGAGTTCTTGGGAACAGAGCACCGCTGTCCAGTTTCCAAACCTGGGGCTTCCAAGGTACTCCCGTCATCCCAGAGCATGTTTAGGGGCCACCAGGGGGTGGTGACCAGGCTGGGGGGGGCAGTCTGGATGCTGCTGCTCCCGCTTGCAGGGTTTGTTCCTGGGGGGGGGGGGGGGGAGAAGCCCGATGCAATGGGAGGACCGGCTAAAAGCGCCTGCTGGCACCGCCACTGAGTGTTCCCAAAAGAGGCTAGCGGATCTGGGGGCGAGTCTGAATCTTAAGTAGCTGTGTCCCCATTGAGGCACCCTGCGCCCCAGCCGAGGGATCCCTGGAGCGCATGTGGAGCGCTCCTGCCCGCCCCCGGGAGGGAGGCCCGGCCCAGGCTCCCTCCTCCGGCCCACCGGGTGTTGGAGCCGGGGAATCTCTCCCGCCCCCGTCCCCCCACCCCCACCCCAGTTTGGAGAACCCCAGGCTCTGCCCCCACAGGTCGAGGCTGACGTCGCCGCCGCATTTCTAGGAATGCCCCTATCCGCTGACTATATTTGGCGAGGGTTTCTAGGAAGGCCCCCCCACCCCGGCCCCCCCCAGCCCCCCCACCCGGGCAGGCGGGCGCGCGCCCTCTCTCCGGCCGGGGAGGAGCCGCCCCGCCTGGGCCGCCGCCGCCTCCCCAGCGCCGCCAACCCCGGGCCGGCCCAGCCCCCGCCCCGGGCCGGCCATAGGGCGGGGGGGGGGGGCGGGGGCGGGGGCGGGGGGGCCGGGGGGGCGGGGGCGCGGCTTTGTGGCGGCAGCGGACCGTGGAGGCCGGGTGCAGCCCCGTCGGCTCCGTGCTCTCGGCAGAAAAGGATTTCCTACGCGCGCCCCCCCGCCCATCACTTGGACCTTGTCTGGGGAGGGGTGGGATCTTGGGATCTTTTTGCCTGCAAGTCCCCCCGCCCCCCCCGCGGTGAAGGATTTGAGGCTGGGCTCCAATCGAGGCGGAGGCTGCAGGGCCCGCGGGCGCCCCCCGCCCCGCGCACGCCTCCCGGGAGCCCAGGAAGGCGCAGCCCCGGGGGGCCCCCTGCGCCCCCGGAGCAGGCAGCGGCGGTGAGTCTCCCCCTCTTGCCTGCATGGCAGCCTCCCCCGCGCCGGGGCACGGGGCCGCGGCAGGTGGGTGCCCAGGCCCCCGGGCCCAGCGGGTGCGGGCGGCCGCCCTGGGGTGGGGGTGGGGGTGGGGGTGGGGTGGGGTGGGGCGGGGTGGGGATGGGAGGCGGCGGCGGGGGCAGCGCCGGGCCCTCCGGGGACCCCGCGCTAGACGCCTGTCTGGGCTGCGCTCCCCCGAGGCGGCGGGGCTGGGCGACCTCCCCGGCCCCCTCCCCGGCTCCCGAGAGGGGCGTGTGAGGCGAGGAGGTGGGATCCGGGCGCACGGCCCCCCTCCCGCCGGGGCCCGGGGCTGGGCCTGCACGCGCGCGGGGAGGCCGCCACCCCGCCCCACCCCCACCCCGCCCCGCCCCCACCCCGCCCCGGGGAGCGCGTGCGGGGACCGGGCTCGGCGTGACCCCCGGCCGCGCGCCACCCGCCGCTCCACGTGCGCCCCGCGGGCCGAGCCCGAGGACACTCCCCGGAGAGTTGCCACCTCCCCGAAGTAAAGTTGGCGGCCCCCCGCCCCCCTCGGAGGAGGCTCAGCTCCCGGTGGGCAGCAGCGGGGTGGGGTGCGGCGGGGCGGGGTGGGGTGGGGGGCGCGTGGGAGACCGAAACCCGGTCCCGGGGTGCAGAGCCGGGGGCCCGGGCCCGGACACCACACCGTGTGGCTCTGGCAAAAGTTGGGGGGGGGGGAAGGGGGAGGGAAAAACAAACAAAAAAAAAGGACATTTTGATTTGGGGATGGGGGGGGGGGGAGTGGCCTTTCTGCTTTCTCCGGCTTCCAGTCCCCACCGTGGGGAGCGTTGGAATGTGCCGCTCAGATCCTCTGAGGACACATCCATATTTATAATTTATTTTTAGGAGAAGTTGTGAAAAAGAGAAGGGGGGTTTAAGATGGGGAGGAAGGTGGTGGTGGGGGGGCGGTGGTGGTGGCCTTTTCGGAACCCAGACACTAATTGAGCCATTAAAGTGGAGATGATTTCCCCCAATCCGGGGTGAGCAGCAAATTTGACTTTAATGAGGGACAATTAAAGGCATAAATAACGAAACTTTAGCTGGATGTGGGGGGTAGGGTGGGGACTTAATGCGGCACCAAAGGCACTCCTTTTGCACTTTGCTAAGGGACATTTTGGGAGCCCAGCGTCTTCCTGGGAAGCTTTCAGGCCCAACTGTGGGGCTGGAGGCTGGAGAGGGAAAAGATACCCCCTCCGGGGTGGACAGATACCACCCCCATTCCTCCCACCACTGTCCTGGCTTTTGGGTGAGATCAACTGTCATCCCTGCAGGAAAACCCAGGATTCCTTTAATTATCCAAGATTCTCCAAAATCCTGCCTCAGAGGCAGACTGCCCCAGTGCTGTGAGCTGTGCAGGGGAGCACACTTCTTTCGAAAAGGTTTTGGAGGCTGTGGTCCCAGAATCGGGGTTTTGAGGGCGAGATGAGTTTATGTTTGATCCAACTGGCCCACAAAGTCCCGCTTTTGGGGTCATTCTAAACATCGAGGGATTCAGGCCCAGCAGCCCGTGGAGAGAGAGCCAAGAGCTAACACCTCCAAGTTGCACATCTAAAAGCTGATTGGAGAAGGGGGGGAGGTTTGCTACTTTTGGTAAAAGTGAAAGGCTGTTGGGGGGGGGCATGGATATTCTCGTGTGTGCCCGCGAGGGTGTGTGCTCCGTTTGTTGAACCTGCTAAATTTTTAAGGGCCCCTTGGCTTCGGAGGCCACAAAGAGATGAGGGAATTGTACAATTTTTCCCCCAGTGGTTTAATGAGATGTTGTAGGGGACAGGATTTGAAGGCAATGAGTGGCATACCCGTTTGACACCCTCCAAATGACACCGTTGAAGCTGTGAATGGTAATTATGTTAGATTTGTCCTCACATTTGTCAAAGGGGCACCCCCCCCCCCCCCCGTCCACCTGCTTCCGCTGGGAGCCACAGTATTGCTTTGGTACCTCGGTCTGAGCCATTTTATCAGAAACTCAGGATATTGTGTTCACAGGAGCTCTCTCAAGACAAGGGTGGCAGGGGCACAAATGCCCTTCCCAGAACATTAACCTTATTACGTAGGTTGTATTAATTTACACCCTCCCACACCCCCCACACACACACACCTGCCCTCCAGTTGTGCCCTATGCAGACACCCACATACCTTGAATTTATTTATTTGCAAACCTGGATTTCAATCAGGTGTCCACAGCACAGAATAGAAAAGTGAGCTGGACCCGAAGAACTTTGGAACACAGGGTGCTTGATGGACGATTCTGTGTAAGGCGGACACGACACACGTACACACAGATGACATTTGCACTCGGGGGCCTTGGCAAAAACAGTTCTTCACTTCCCCAGTTCCCTTTGTTACGGGACACGATGAAACAGCACAATTTTCAAGAGTCCACCATCCCAGCGTGGCTCATCGATGGGAAATTGTCACGTTGTGACACAAATTGTGTTTGTGCTCTGCTGAATCGTCACCACCACCCCCCCCTTGGCAACACCAGAGAGCTGTCAGGTCCTATTTGCTTTGCTAAATAAGGATATCTCGCCAAATTAGCCTTTAATGATACTTCTCCAAATAGGATGTTTTAGGTGAATTAACGAGGCCGGAGCGCAGAATGTGGCGCCGAGACACCGAGCTGCCAGCCAGGCGGTGTAGCCGTATGTTAACACGACTGGATCGTGAAGTGGGGAAAATCAGAGCGTGTTTCGTTGCCGAGTGTGAAGCGAGTCTGCTTTCCAGCGAGCATTTGCAATCGCACAGCCCTTGCTTACACGCGGGCCCCCTGAAACGGCGCCTGAAACTCTGAATACATTTAGCGAACTTTGCCCCCCCTCGGGGTCTGGCACCAGGCGGTGTAGTTTGGGGAAGAGCTTATAAATCAGGACTTTGCAGCGAGAAGGAGAAGTCGGCAGGAATTCGGCAGAGAATCCCAGCGCCTTTGCATATTCCTACCAACACCCTCTCCCTGCCCTCCCCGCAGCAATAAGACACACACACACACACACACACACACACACACACACAAATTAAGCAAGAACTGCTGAATATGCTGAATGCATTTTGGCTTTTCTCCTTGGGCCTGTCTGTGTGAAATTTCATTAAGCGGTTCCTATCCCCCCACCCCCAAGAAGTGTGGATTTAGATGAAAAAAAAAAAAAAAGAAAGAAAGAAACTTTGAATCGAGTTCATAACAATATACAAGCCATGGCGAATCTCACTAGGACACAAATGTTTTGATGGGGTGGAGGTGGGGGAATATGATCTAGCCCCGGGGGTGAGATATTTAGAGGGGGTAGTGCAATGAGAGGAATTCTTCCCTAATGATAAAACATTTATGTTTATGACTCAAAGCAATGGAAAGGTGGGAGAGTCTCTACAAGGGAATACTCCATTTCTTGCTCCCCAGCACCGCCCTCACACCCACACACACACACACACACACCACACTTCTATTAAGAACAGAAAGATGGTTCTTGCCAGGTAAAGCTACGGCTTTCTAGTAGCAGATCAGCTCACTCTCTTTTAATCGGGATCGTGGAGTAAATACGGCTATTTGGGGCGGGGAAGAGAAAAATTAGCCCGATTACGGGTAAGGGAAACTCGGTCCTTAGAGTCACTTGCCAGAAAATACGTACACACGCCAACAAAATAAAACACTGTTCTGGAATCTTCTCTCTTGCCCAGCATCCCAAACTCGGAAAAACGTGCAGTGCTTTGTGCCGCGTGTGCATAGAACGAGTGAAACCAGAGCACCACACGGGCAGGAGGTAAAAGCACAATAGATTTTTCGGGCCTGGGAGCCACGCAGGCTTTTCAAAGCAAAAGGGTGGATGTGGTAGGGAGTTTGGAAGGAGTGAGCTTTGGGGTTCCCCTGCCACCCTGAGCGCCCGGCCCTCCTCTGGTCTCCCTCAGGGCAGCTGATGATCCGATGCCCGCTCGGCGTCCGGGGTTGTAGGGGGCACGTGGGTATGTGCAGAGCCGTCGAGTTTCCGATTGCACAGCATCTTCCTTATGGGGAGCATCTGCGTTTAAGGAGCCGCAAGGCAAACTCGTTTCTCCGTGTCCCCGAATGGCCACAGTGCTCCGTGAAAGGGAGACACACGTGGGAAGCGAAAACTGAGGTCGGTGTCACCAGAAAGCCACGTTAAAAATGCACCGGCAAATGGAGCCTTTTGTCCAGGACTTGTTTGGCCTCCGCAGGGAAGGCAGGCAGTGGCCGCCTTGAGCCTTGAGTTAGCCGTGCAGCGCGGTGTGAGAGTTTGCTCGGAGGCGTGCAGAAAACCAGGCTCTCTTGTTGGAATCGTGCGTGAGATCGTGCCTGGGCCTGTTGGCATCTCTGCCTGGACCACTGCCAGCCCAGGCCTGAATGTGGCCTTAGAGTCATCACCGCGGCCCAAAGGAGCCCCGGACAGGTGCACACGGGGCTGTGGCAGCGGGGGCGTGTGTGCAGGGCCGGGGAGGGGGTGGCGATCTCTGCTCCTGGGACCCCGCTGGCAGCATCTGTTGACTAGAAGTAGGGTGTTTGGCTCCTGAGGGCAGCCTCCCCAGAGACTCTGCAGGGCTTACTGCCCCACCTACCACATGGTCTCTGGTGGGGGGGAGAACCCCACTTTGCTAAGCACAGCCTCCCAGATGCTCAGAGGGCAACCAGAGGAGGCCATCCTAGGGGCTGGGGGCAAATCTGCCTGTGCGGGAGCAGAGCAGATGTTGAGTCCAGAAGGTTCAGCGGCAGAGCCGTGCTTCTGCAGGCCAGCCGGAAGTCCTCCCCGCGGTCCTCCTCGCGTTCGGGTTGGGCCCAGGGGGCGTGGCGCGGGGCCAGTGGCGGGGCTGCACGCATCTCAGCTACCGTGCAAGCTGCCCTTGCCGGCCCTCTCCAGCCAGCGGGGCAGGCTGCAGCCCTGAAGTGGGGAGAAGGTGCTGCAGGACCGTCACAGGGCCTGCTGGGCAGATGGGGGGACACAGAGCCG